CAATTGGATTGCGTATCGCGAATCATTTGATTCAGATCGGGATTTCAAAGCGCGTATCGCGAATCATTTGATTCAGATCGGGATTTCAATGCACGTATCGTGAATCATTTGATTCAGATCGCGATATTCAGATCGCGATATTTTACCCACCGGGGATAAAAATAATTCAGCAGAGGCAGGGATGCATAGACCAGAGGGGGGGGATTTTTTTGAACCTGTGATACTTTTTTCAAGATTCTTTGATGAATAAAGTTAAAAAGAACGGCATTTATTTAAAATAGAAATCTTTTCTAACAATATAAGTCTTTATTATCACTTTTTATCAATTTAACACATCCTTGCTGAAGAAAAGCATTAATTTCTTTCAAGAAAAAAAGAAAATAAAACAAATACTGACCCCAAACTTTTGAATGGTAGTGTTTATTTTTACAAAATACTTCTAGTTTGAATAAATGCTGTTCTTTTTAAATTTTTATTCACCAAAGAATCCTGATAAAAAGTATCACAGGTTCCAAAAAAATATTAAGCAGCAAAACAGTAATAAATCAGAATTTAAGAATGATTTCTGAAGGATCATGTGACACTGAAGACTGGAGTAATGATGCTGATGAAAATTCAGCTTTGCATTACAGGAATAAATGATAATTTAAAGTATAATAAAATAGAAAACCATTATTTAAAATTGCAATAATATTTCACAATATTACATTTTTTTTCAGTATTTCTGATCAAATAAATGCAGCCTTGATGAGCAGAAGAGACCTCTTTAAAAAACATTACAAATCTTACTGATTACAAACTTTTGAACAGCGGTGTATATGTGTGTGTGTGTGTGTGTGTGTGTATATGTGTATATATGTTATTTTGAACTTTGTTAATCAAAGAATCCTGAAAATTGTTTCCACAAAAATATCAAGCAGCAAATCAGCATATTAGAATGATTTCTGAAGGATCATTTGACACTAAAGACAGTAAGTAATGGCTGCTGAAAATTCAGCTTTGCCTTCTGGAAATAAATTACATTTTAAAATATATTAAAGTTTTTTACCTTAGTTTTTACTTTGCATGCATTTGTTAAAATAGCATAATACAATTGTGGATAACAACAGTTTAAACAGCTGAAATCGAAATGTAGGTCTATATGTACTCATAACAGTGACTATGCAAAACATATAGGGATGTAACGATTCACTCAACTCACGATTCGATTCACGATTTTGATTTCACGATTCGATTTGATTCACGATTTTTTTTCTTCTTTTTTTACAAAATGAGATTTAAGACAAATTATAAATTAAATAATTTAATAAGTTTTATTATTGCTTGGACAAAATGCTGCACATTTCTTTGTGAAATTGAAGAAATCGTCACATATTTGAATCGATATTCAACCGGCTCGCGGTTAATCGTTACATCCCTAAAACATAACGGGAGTATTAGAGTAATACTTATTAGCACATTGAAAAGTTCTTCACATTTGCATCTCGATTTTTAGGGATCACTGACAATGTTGTCATAGGCAAAGAACCCTTTGTTTCTGGTACCCGAAAGGAGCTTGGATGGTGAGATATTTGTTTTATTAATTTATATATGTATGTAGAGTAATAGATGTGTTTTCCCACCTAAACATGAAATCAATGTCTCTGAAATTTTGTCTCTCACATTCAGCCTTGTTGTGAATCTCACCTGCCGTGGCTGTTGCTCAGAATTAGGAGTTATGTACATATCAACCCCAAAAAAGCTTGATTACAAGAGATCTCTTTTCTGCTTTAATGTTGAAAATATTGAAAGGTAAGTAGCATATTGTGCACAAGCCTGTGTGATTTTTGTGTGTGTGTGTGTGTGTGTGTGTGTGTGTGTGATTATTGCTAATGCATGATTGCCACCACATCTCATGTATCACATTGAGGATATGATTATGTCCCTCTGTAGCTATGTAGTCGGCAGTCCAGGCCAGCAGGTGCCAGAATTAGACAAAGACAAGCCAGTGACCCTGGAGTACCAGAACATTGTAGAACAGCAGATGACAGAGGTAAAGTAGCTCATCTTTAGTTTAAATTATAAGTGACGTGACATGTGACATGTGGCCAAGTATGGTGACCCGTACTTGGAATTAGTGCTCTGTCACTTAAAGTAGCTCATCTTTCATCTTTATTATTGATCTGCAAACATGATGTAAACCGATGCAAGTCTCTCGCTGTTTAAAAATAACCATTTCTTTTGCACTACAAATGCAGAGATGAATGGCAATATTGAATGTGTAGAGAATATGACAAAAATAATATTTTATATTAAACTTGATGAGGGGAAATGTATTGTTTTAAAACATTAGGTACAATAGAACCTGAATTTTGAATTGTCACTCTTAATTTTTTTACTAAAAGAAATTAATTCTAAAACAAATGTATGTCTAAAAGAAATGTGTTCCAGTATGAGTGGGGACCACACAGGAGAAAACAGAATTAAAGGTGTAGATATAGGATATCTGTGCTTTCTGTGTGGTTTTTAACACGCAGAAGTAAACAGCAGATGGCGCTCTCTTGCTGCCAGCGCTCTTTGTTTGGTCACTGAGTCCTGCAAACAATAGATATTAGGAGCTGTTGAAGAATTTGATCTAGAAAAGGGTGTTGACAGTTATGTCTGTCAGATATTTTCATGTTTTAATTTCATCTTCCTTGTCTATATACTTGTCAAATAAATCAAATAAAAACTTCTGATAAGATGATTCCGGCTGGTGATATTGAAATGTCTTCTCTGAATGTTGGGAATGAATGTTTTAGTAATTTTCCAAATATGTATTTTGTACTTTGTGTTTTAAACAATTACGTATTTAAACAATTATGTGTTTTAATCATGATTTATATTTATTTTTTAAGCAAGATTTTACACTCATGTTCTCTGGTTTCTGTCTGACCTCCTATTCTCTAATGTACCTTTCAGATAAAATCTCTAGCTGTGATAATAGGACAACGCCTACTGGAGATTGAAAATAACCTCCAGTGCAGTTCTGGAAAATGATATGAGCTGTCTGTTTTATGACTGAAGGTAATAATCCTATGTGTCTGTTGTGAATAAGGTTTTTGGACTCTTTAGTGTAAGATAGTTTTGTCTGGACAGTTATGTATTTACTATACAGTTGTATGCAAGTGACACATTTGTACAATTTCCAACCTTTTATTAATGTCAAGGTCCACACATTTAAGAGATGTCATTGGATATAGGTACATATATTAGATATTACAACATAAAATTGTATTATTTAAAAGTTGCTGTACTGTTTGTTAGTAAAACACTCTTACTGGAGAACATGTTTGTTTGCATCTCATATTTTGTCAGGTGTGATCCTTGTCTTGTCATATGTGATGATAGTATTTATAAGATGGATACACAGGGTGAGCATGCACAATAAATATAATGGTAAAAGCAAAACACGTGTTGTTGTTTTTTTTCCCTCCGCTGGTTTGTTTTTGATACTTCATCGTTTGCATCAAAAAATCCCTCTGCCCAACCCACTGAAAAACTAGTTCAATAACAAGTGGATGGTGCATGTGGGTGGCGGGAGAAGGGGGGCATGTCGGCTCAAGCCATTTTTTTGTTTACAGTTCCTGTCTAATGTGCCTAGCAACACTCTACACCAGGAGGCGGGAAAAGACTCGTAGAGACCCTAAAGGCGCGCACCCCCAACCCCGAATGCTGGGGTAGCATAACAACAGCGGCTGAGATAGAAGCCGTGCGCCTCCGACCAACCAGAGAGCTGTATCCAAGGGGCATGTTGCCATGGAAACAGCGCACATGCTGTAGCTAGAGCCTGTTGCCATCGCATCCGTCGTTTCCTTATTTGCCGGCCAGCGAGTCAGCCAACCAGCTTGCGAGGGGGGGGGGTCTGTCAGTCTGATGACATTGCGCTTCAGTCGCTCGTGGGGGCGTGGTCTCCATCTCCGCGCCCGCAGAGAGTTCTTCATTCTTGTGCCTTTGAACTCCTACGATCTGCCTGTAAACCCAGTAGAGTTCAAAATAGGAACAAGAGGTAAAACATGCGTATAGCGCATGGTATTATCCCAGCATGTTTACTGTTTATGTCCAGTAGAGGGAAACATCACTCTACATGTGGCAAGATAGCCATCATATCATATCTAGCTGTACTAGTTGGTGAGGATTCATCTCAGTAAAAGCCCGTTTACACCAAGAACGATAACTGTAACCAAATCTGTCCAAATTGCATTTTCAATGCAGCTTCAAAGGGCTCTACACGATCCCAGCCCAGGGTCTTGTCTAGCGAAACGATCTGTCGTTTTCTAAACAAAATAAAATTAATAAAAATGTATATACTTTTTTAACCACAAATGCTCGTCTTGCACTAGCTCTGCGATGTGCCTCTGCAAATTCACGCTTCGTCTGTGTACTCGGTTTAAAAAGGTAGAGTAGGGCGAAAAACTCCATCTAATTTTCTCCTCCAAATTCAAAATCGTCAACATTGTTGTTTTACCTTTTTTCGTAAAGGGCATTTGACTTTAACGTTCGCTTTGTAAACACTGGGTTGGTACTTCCATCTACATCATATGTGACCTTTCCAACGTGACTACGTAATACGTGAAGTCGAGATCGTGTAGAGCCCTTTGAAGCTGCACTGAAATTGCAAATTGACCTTCAGCCTGTTGGCCACAATTGAAGTCCATTATATGGAGAAAAATCCTGGAATGTTTTCCTTAAAAACCTTAATTTCTTTGGGACTGAAGAAAGAAAGACATGAACATTTTGGATGAAATTGGGGTGAGTTAATTATCAGGGAATTTTTATTCTGGAAGCGAACTAATCCTTTAAAGGGGTCATATGATGCGTTTTTAAAGATCATTATTTGGTGTAACAGAATATGTTGACATGCTTTAATGTTCAAAAAACAGGGGGCGTGTTAGAACGAGCCGTTTTAGGGGGGCGTGGCAGAGTCTTAACTTTGATAAAGAATATCTCTTTGAGACTTTAGTCTTTGCAACTTCAGGGATCCTATCTATGCACAATCAGCTTGTAACACTCCAAAGAGAAAGGAAAACTTGAAATCGCATCATATGACCCCTTTAAATGCTCCAGCTCTTTAAAGCCCCGTTGATTCTGATTGGCCATCAATGTTTTTTCGTTTGTCCGCTGAAAAAAAAAAAGGTACTTATAGCATGTCATTATTCTTATATCTGAGGTGTGAACATTCCTATTCTTATAGAACAATTATTAAAACTTTATAGTACTGCGTTCAACAAATGCACTCGAGATAAAGGTTACATAAAATATTAGTTAAGATTCGCTTAACGATGCCTGCTTCCATCATTACAACAGGTGCCGAAAGTTGTGTTTCTGAATCGTTCACTCAACCGATTTGTTAAAGGGGTCATATGATGCGATTTCAGTTTTTCCTTTCTCTTTGAAGTGTTACAAGCTCTTTGTGCATAAAGAAGATCTGTAAAGTTGCAAAGACTAAAGTCTCAAATCCAAAGAGATATTATTTATAAAAGTTAAGAGTCAACCACGCCTACCTAAAACGGCTCGTTCTAACACGCCCCCACATATCTACGTCACTATGTGGGAAGATTTGCATAACGCCGCCCAAATGTTCACACAAAGAAAGAAGGCATAACTTTTATTCTCACTGTAGTATTGTTGCTGCCGCCATGTCGTGAAGACACTGTGTGTTTCGTTGTGAAAGCGAAACTACTTTGTTTGGCCTTCCAAAAGAGGACGATATCTGCTTCGTCATGCCTAGAGCTGATCCATGCTGGTCGCTGAGGAAATACATCAACTTCACACTGTGGATCGCCGGATCGGCTTTCACCGTGGACGAAGCGGAGTCCAGCCTGGGGTCGTCACATGTGGTTGACGCAAGCCCGCCGGCCGCTCCTTCGTCGAATCCGCCGGCCGAGCCGTTCTCAAGCCCGCCAGCCATTCCTCACTCTAGCCCGCCGGCCTCCGCTCACTCACTGTTCCAGAACAGTTCAACCCAAATATTCAGATGTGTGTAGCGCATTTTATGGAGGACTGTTTCCTGATCCTGGAAGAGTAGACTACAATTCCGTCACACGCTTGAGGTATTCGGCCTATCACAATGCACTGGATTCTTTTTAGCAATGTCATATGACCCCTTTATACAGAGTTGTTCACTATCACATGTCTTATTGTTCTTTATTAGAATGTGCGTGACTTAAAGGGTTAGTCCACCCAATAACGAAAATTCTGTCATTAATTACTAATAACATACGATAACATGTCGTTCTAAACCCGTAAGACCTCCGTTCATCTTCGGAACACAAATTAAGATATTTTTTATGAATTTTGAGCATAAAGTAGTTGTTTTTGTTTTCTTTGTGTACAAAAAGTATTCTCGTAGCTTCGTAAAATTACAGTTGAACCCCTGATGTCACATGGATTATTTTACCGATCTCCTTGCTACGTTTCTGGACCTTGATCGTGGTAATTGCATTTCTGTCTATGGGAGGGTCAGAGAGCTCTCAAAATTCATCAAAAATATCTTAAATTGTGTTCCGAAGATGAATGGCGATGGGTTTAGAACAACATGAGGGGGAATAATTAATGACAGAATTTTCATTTTTGGGTGAACTAACCCTTTAAGGCCCAAGTATACTTCCTTTTTTTTTTCCAGTCATATATAGCCTTTCAAAGTGTAGTCCATTTGAGACGTATGCAAACACACGCGGTCCACACTTGCGTTCTAGAAAGTTTGATCGTTGTCCAGCGTCTGCTCTATTTTTCTTCAAAGGTTATGACCGATAAAAATGTTTTTGTACTCTCTTAAACTTAAGTTGCTGCTATCTCGTAAGCCTCAAGCGCTTGTCAATGCGGCCCTGTGTTGTTGTAGTCTGCTATTTTTTTTTACTGAGAAACATAACGGTCCCCCCAGTGTTGCCACTTTAGTGCAAAACTAATCAATGCGCATGTGTAGGGTGGCCATATGTGCCATTTATACGGGACACGTCCTGGCCATGATTTTTATATTGCCTAAAAAATCCAAAGTAGGCCTAGTTTGATCAATAACATGCAGGTATTGTACATAATCGACCAATCGTGGCGCGTCGCGTGTGAGAAGGTGAGAACGATCAAAGCGATGCAAATACGCGCACGTGTTTGTTCGTTCGTTCGTTCGACCTGAAGCTGCGCACCGATCATTGTATGACACCAAAGTACCGCGAGAGCGATTTGAAAGCATAAGGAGCCGTCCGCTCTGCTCTCTATAGCTCTTGTGAAATTATGTCATACAACGATCGATCTGCACGGTGCTAACAGCCAGAACCTGGATATTTTAGGCAATATAGAAATCCTGGCAAGGGTGCGTCCCGCAATAATGGCCCGTATGGTCACCCTACGCATGTGCGACCTTACAAAAATCGTATGGTGCTCGCGTATTATTCTGGTAACTAAATTTGCATCACGTACTACACTGTAAAAACCGAAGTATACTTTACTTTGGCCTTCACTCTTTTACGAACGAGACGCCTGTTCGTAAATGTCTGGTTCAGTGCCTCATCAAATCTCAAACTCGTACATTGAAGAGGCATATTCGTTCATGAGTTAAAAAAGAATAAATGAAACGGAAAAATATATGAATTTCAAAAATGATGTGATTCGTTTAGTTAAAATTAAAAACACAGATTTGTTCACCAATGAAAGACGACTGAACTGTACATATGTTCGTGTCTTTGTTAATTTATATATTTTTCTCCCATAGCCTAATTATTTTCACCTGCTCCGCCAGCTGCTGTCATTTTGATTAATGGACGCTGGCTGCAATCTGCATCTGCAAAGTGCATCTCACTTGAACTGAAGTGCTGATGGCGCGCTGCACTTTCAGTATGATCTTACCCACCCCAGTCACCTCCCTCTCACACAGACATACACACACGCACGCACACTTTGTCCTGGAGGACTGGTGGGCTGGAAATCAATAATGTAGACAGTCTGATTAAGCGAAGGTTACTTTGCAAATAACCCTGTGAGGCAATCGACACGAGGACTGTAGAGACAACCCCTCCAATAGCAGTGAAGCTCAAAACAGGATTTGCCAGTCCATTCTTGCTAATATGCAAATTGAGTGTTGCGTGCAACAGCTGCTTCCACATTTGCCTGTATTCGCCTCAACATTTCCTTGGAGTTATGATTGAAAGAATTGTGACATGTTGAGCTTGCTGATGCACACAGAATGTGCTTTTTTTTTTTAAACGCAGTATGCAAATTATTTTACAGGCCAAATGCTTTCGATTCCAACATTTAGTTCAAAACTGTTAAATAATTGTAATACATAATTGTAAACAATGTAAAATAATGTAGGGATTTCTTGCCTCAAAACCAAAATTACAATATAATTTTTAATATATAAAAATAATTGTATAATTGATATAATGATTTTT